ACGACTTATGTTGGTAGGCCCTAACCACCATTCAGTGCAGGAATGAGGGAAACCTGGAAAACCTCATTAATTAGGGGGGTGGTCAAATGCCAACCGGTGTCAATCTCTCACATTGACCCAAGCCAACATTCTTCCACCCTACCATACCTGCACAGAGGGTGCCAATTCTCCGTACAAGCATAGCTAATCTACGGTCTACCGGCCGCGGGAATCGAACCCGGGCAGAAATTTGCACACGATTTAAGTACTGATGCCTTAACCCGTGCGGCTATCGACCGATCTTAAAGATTTCTGATCGTATTAATTGATATGTATAGATCCTTTCGACGGAGTCTCACTTGTGCTTGACGAAGTGTTAGGCTTGGAATCATTTGAAAATGACGCAAGATCATTTTGTCCCCTGATGCAGATGTTGTGCGAGGCAGTCCTCTGACAGGTCATCAACGTTGTCAGTGGTTTTAAACCTATTTACCCACTTCCTTGCAAATGCCTCTACCTTTTTAATAGCTTGAGTAATTGCTGCGATTGTCAGTTCCTTTGGAATTATTCTTAAGAAACACTGCCTTGTGAGGTTTTCGGTATTTTGCACTCATGTTGGAAAATGAAGGTTATTTGTAATGTCCACACAACAGAAAATTTTAGTGTATACTGTGAACTAGCCAATGCTTTAAGAATTTGAATGGTATGTCATAGATGGCGCTACTATGAAATTTCACAAAATTATACTCACTATAAACACTTTTTTGTTGAACAGACTGTAAATGAAATCAATAATAATGATAAAATGCCTATTTTCTCAAATCTGAAAGAATCTTATCTGCGATACTCTCTAGGGTGGCCTATAAATATCACTATTTATAGACAAACATTAGTCTTACTTTAACTTATCAGATATTGTAGTTTATAAAACCAGTGGTGCTATGTTGGTACCTAAATCCATTTTTCTGAGTGCAGATGTTTGTGAAAAAAGTTGGAAAAATGTTACCTTTGTCTTCACCTGAAAAGGGTTGAGATTCTTTAAGGGTGACTCAGATTAATTAATAGAATAATTTCATTAATAATGATTCATCCATTTTTTTTAACCATTTATGCGACACCCTGTATAAAATTTTGTACAGGGTGTTTAGGTTACTAATCAATAGATCCTATAAAAAGAGTAAAATTTATGAGGTAGTCCAAATAAAATTTTGTCAAAAAATAACTGTTTCCGGGATATAGGATGTTGAAGTTGAAAAAATTAAAACTCTAGACATATGTTGAACACTTGATATGCAATTTTTTATTGTTTTATATTTTATATCGTTATATTTATGAGCAAGTGCAAATATTTAAAAAAACGTAAATTTACCTACAGGGTCCTTAGGGAAGGTAAGGAAACTTTTTGTAGAATTATATCGTTTATTACGAGAGTTTCTGGCCGCACACACATGTCCAGCTTTTTTATCCATTTCTTATGTACCATATGTATATTATGTATAAAAATGCAAGTTTGACTTGCTTGAATAGAGAGTAGATACATTATAATAAAATATACATACCAACAACACAGCACACACACACACAATTAATAGTTTTAAACACACTGAATCAGTAAGGGTTTAATGATAATAACTAGAGAGCGGACAATGTGTGACTTTAACCCGAAGAATAGGTCAAATTTTAGTAGAGATGTGTACGCGTTCAAAAATGTATTGTGTATAAACTATGCAAAATATAATTATTATGTATAGCAAATATATCGTATTATCCTCGCGAAGATTTGTACCCTTTATTTAAAATCCATAAATCATGTGAACAGGTTAAATAACGAGAAAATTAGTAAGTTAATTTAGTTCTAAAGAAATGAAATGACACTCGCGCCCATCTCTAGTCTATCCGTCGACATCGGTTGCGTTTATCAAATTCCTATTGGTCAGAATTCAAACTGCAGCCCTGTTATGAATGGAGCGTGAGTTGGACTATTCTATCATGTGCGTCGCCTGAGGATATTCGTTACATTGACTCCTAATTTCCAATTAAAAGAACGACACTATTTTTAACCGAACTTTATTTAATAAATATGTAGTATACAATTTCTGATTTTCTAAATATTTTATAACGCCTAAAAATGTATGTACCGTGCAATTTTCGTGAATTATCACGTAAATTTCCGATGCATACCCGACACGCCACTGCGTCATGGGTAATGTATCTAGGTTTTTAGAATGACATATCTATGTTCAAGGTTAAAGTCACAAATTGTCCGCTCTCTGATAATAACACATAAAAAAATCATTGGCCGACTCTGAACACAGGGAACATCAAATGGTAAAACTGACCACGCCACTGCCATTTCTGACAGGTTCTTTCCTCAAATGGTGGCCTGCGCGAGGGGATGCGCGTATCGTTCCCGCCAACTACAGCTAGACTGCTGATTGTTTTATTTACTGTGGTAGAAGTTAAGTTAATCTAAATCATAAAAAATATCAGACATAACTTTAGTACAAAAGTTAATATTATTATCATTATTATTAGTCTAAAGTGTTCCCCAAATACTTGACTATCCCTAACTGCAACTAACAATTTTTTTGTACCTGATGATGGGAGTCCATATTGGTATTTCTATTTCAAATTAGAAAAAATTGTTTATCAAGTTTCTGAAATATATCTAAAAATAGTTTGGAATTTTATTTATACTTTATTATATTTATTTATTTTAACATCCTGTATCTCGAAAACAAAGCATTTTTTAACAAAATTTTATTAAATTCAAATTAATTTTTACCGCAGAATCTAATAGCCGATTAGTAACTGAACACTTAGTATCGAATTTAACTTTTGGGAATGATCCTACAGGTGCTTCTAAGTGTGTAATGGGTGGATTTTGCCATTTTAATTTTACTTATGTTGGTTGTAATTAATATTCAGAATACTTTGTTACAGATTTCCACAAATTGCATCCTTATGTTATATCAGGAAGTGTAGATCAGACAGTGAAAGTCTGGGAGTGCCGTTAAATGAAGTGCACCAGCTCAAAAAAGCATGCGGGTCAGAAGTAATTGTTCTGAATTTACAAAATAACAAAAAGAATTCAACAGTGGCTTTCAACAATCACTATATGTGCATAGTTTATTAATTTAGGTCAAAAAAAAATCACATCAGGCTGGGTAAATTGTGTTTATAGTCCTGTAAAAATATTGTTTTTAATTTTTTTTAAAGCCAGCCATTTCAGTTTGTTTTAAATAGATTATTTAAAAAGTTATTTAACAATTTATTTAAGATGTAACTTATATTTTTTTGTTACTTTTAATAAAATGCTCTTGAAGTTTCACTTTTAGTTTTATTTTGTTGTATTATTTTGAGCAACTGAATGTTGATTTGTAGTTCTTTTTGTTTTCTATGTGATATTTTGGTGAAATTTCCAGAGTGTTATTAATTAAAACAGAAGTTTATGTACATAGAATCTTACTTTATATACAAGGGGTAACAAAAATTAACCAACAAATTTCGAGGCTATCTAGAACTCACAAAAATGATGTCGGTAAGCCATATAGAATCTTTCTAAAATGTTTTGTTGGGGAGCTGCAGCGCTTTTTAACTAATAATATTGTATAAACAACTTCTGTGTATTCAAACCTTGCATTGAATTACACCTACAATATCCAGTAAACAACTAAAATCTTTTGTCGGTAGAAATACCAGATATAGAGTGGCTATATCTCCCCCAAGCTCGAATTAGAGGGCATTTAAATTCAGAAAACATTTAATTTCCATTCACGTGATTTAAAATAAGATGTTTGATTATTTTTTGCATTTTAAAGAAAAAAATATTCTAGTAATATCGAAAAATATCAGGACAAAACTGCATTTCAGTTGCACTGCTGTAAATATGAAGCGTCAGCCCTCTTTGAGATACGTAAGTTCGACGTCTATATCTTTTTTATTTTAATTTTTATATTTTCTTAGTAACAGCGATACATTTACGTAAAGAAATTATTTGTGTCAAATTTTTATATTTTCAAAATATTTGTATTAAATGCTTCAACATTTTTTTACAAATGGAACTAGTGTTTCAAAAGAATTTTAATTACATTCCAATTAATAAATTATTGCATAGAAAAAGTAACTCTGAATAAGTTCGATATACAAAAATAATAGCTACTTAAACCATTTTAAAATTAAATCATGAAAACAGAGTTTAACATTATAACACAAGAAAATTTCAATTAAGACGAAGCATAGTTTCTTCAAGAAAAAGAGTACAATTATGTTTGTATTCTGATAAATTTTTGAAAACCATGTATATCTACAAAAGTTTTCTATTACATTTCTGTTTAACTTATTCATGCTAATAATATTATTGGACTATTGTTTTCATGTTTATATTTAGTTTTCTATGTTCATCATTACTTAAAACTCTTTTGAAAAACTGTAGTTTCTAATAAAAAACAAATAGAAAATTTGTTATGCAAATTTACTTCAAAGTCTAAGAAATTATAAAAATTTGACCAGTAATTTTTTTATAATGTGTCTCGTTAATTAAGTATAGCACATGCTACTAATCAAAAAGGCCCATACCTCAAAAATGGTGCATTTCTGGATCAAGATTTATATAAACTTTGCTTATTTTTTTTCTGAAGAATATCCCTTTGCAAATTTGTACACTTCGTTGTGGGATACCCTGTATAAAGTAGGATTCTTAAGTATAATCTAATGAATTATTAAATTATAAATACAAATTACAATTCTAATTAAAAAAAAATAATATATATGTTCTATCATAAATTATATTGAATACATTTGCTAGTGTTTTTAATTGATAAATTAAAATGTTAATGACAAGTAGAAATAGCAGTCTTATCACTTTAATAATGTGAGTTACCAAATTCGTAAAAAAGAAAGAGAATAGTAGGAACATTTTCAAGTCAACAACTTACAAAAAATAAATTTAATAATATCAAGTTTTATAATGGTAAATATTTAAAAGCAACAAAAAATTAAAATACAAAATGATTTGAAATTAAACCTTCAGAATTGATAGACAATGATGTCAATTTATTATTTACCTACGACCACTAATGTAAATACTTAAAAACACACCGTCTGCGATCAATGTAAGATTCCTATTACGTACGGTAAAAAAATCGCACAGTTTTCCTAGCAACGGTCAATACAATACTGTTTGTATTGAACGTTGCTAGGCGGTTGCTAGGAAAACTACAATTTTTTTACCGTACGTAAAATAGGAATCTTACATTGATCGCAGACGGTGTGTTTTTAAGTATTTACAGTAGTGGTCGTATGTAAAGTATAGTACGTAATACGTGGTGTAATGCAATTACGCACTCGCCGCTATGCGGCGTCGTGCGTAACTTTTCCATTCGTGCATAAAATGCTTTTTACAACACTTATTACGTAATATACTATTATGTTACTGTTCTGTAAAAATCGTCATATGCTATAATTTCTCCATTTTTTATCTGAAATAAAAGACGGTGTTAGTAGCTTTAAAAAATGCCAGAAATTGATGTTTATATACAGGGTTTTTCACAGTAAGTGGCCTATTAAATATTTCAGAGAAATCAAAAATAATATGACTGAAATTTTGTTTATGCAGGTTATCAGATATACTTGCTTCAATGAAAATAATGCCATCAATGTAGTACTTCCGGTTATACTGGAAGTAACTGTCAATTTCGTTATTTTAAATGGCACACCCTATATATTATTGCATTATCGACAAGATAAAGTTACGTCTGCATCTAAAGTGTCACGAAAACGTCAAAAATGTTAAGGCTTGCCCGTACCTAAATCTAACCGTTTTTGAAATAATGGGCAAAATTTTGACGATGGAAGCGTTTTGAAAACTGCTTATATCTTCGTTCTCGAAGCTTTAACTTGCTTTTCCGAATACACAAAGAACATAATATGTACTACCTTCCGCTATTAAAATTACCCAAAGAAAATTATATTAAGTTTCCCATTTTTTATGTTACATTTTGAAAACTTAAAACCAACAAAACTTTTTAAATTCAAATGGTATTTTTTTGCACCATATTATAGGAAATCAAATTCTCTTTTCATCGATATAGGCATTATAGGGGTTACAGTTTCCATTTTCTCAGATATTTGCGGTTTTCTTACATTCCCAAGAATATTATTAAAAATATCAAAAATGCCCTGAAAGACAAATATTGGTATTGTCATTCAATATTCTACAAGAATCAAGTAATTTGAATTAATTTTATATCCATGGAACAGCCGCCATGAATCAGAATTATTAGCTGTATTTCCATGATTTTGCAACTGAAACAGAATTAATAAACTGATTTCGGTTGGTTTTCTTAGAATTTCTCTGTAATTTTTAATGTTGTCATTACAGTTTTTAAAGTATATCAAATATAAATAATTTCAAATAACTAATAAATGCATTATCAGGTAATTTTATGATATTTGGAATGAAGCTGATAGAAGAAAGAATATTATTGGTTACTTTACATTTCATTATTTTCTTAATGAAAGAATAATTATTCGCTCTTTATTGTAGCTAATAATTCCGATTTGTGATTAATGTCCTGTGGATATAAAATAAATTCAAAATGTCTTCATTAGAATAAGTATTTTGCATTTTTTTTTTTGTTGAGCAAATACCTAATGCTTGTAGAATATTGAGTGACAATACCAATATTTGCCTTTTAAATCGCATTTGATGATATTTTTAATGTAATATTCTTGAGAATGTAAAAAAAAACTGCAAATATCCGAGAAAATTAAAACTAATCCCTACAATGCCTATATCGGTGAGAAGAGAATTTAATTTTCTATAATATGATGCAAAAAATACAGGGTGTTTCTTTTGAATTCAAAAAGTTTTCAGTTTTAAGTTTTTGAAATATAACGTAAAAAATGGAACACTTGTTATAATTTTCTTCAGGTAATTTTTATAGTGGAAGGTAGTGTATGTTATGTTTTTTGAGTGTTCTAAAAAACAAAGGATAATGCAATAATATATAGGGCGTTCCATTTAAAATAATGAAGTTGGCAGCTATGGAAGTGCTTCGATTATGGCATTATTTTCATTGGGGAGAGCATAACCCCCGTGAACAAAATTTCATATTATCTTTGGTTTCTCTGAAACGTTTAACAGGCCACTATATTTACCAGACCTAAGTAAAAGTTTTGCACAGAAGGTACCTGTTCTACTTTTAAGTGATAGGCAATTGTCAGTTTTTTTTTATGGGATATTCTATATTTGTTTTACATTGGTAGAAAATTATTCTCTGTGTCCATCGATTTATGATAATTAGATTTTCTTGAAAAATTTTGTGGAAAAATACGAGTATAAGTACATACAACTTAACCAAATACATTAAATAACTATATTTACTAGGCCTAAGTAAAATTTTTGCACACTTGCCCTACTATTAAAGCCTCCTGTGTTTGACATTCCTATTGCAGATTCTCTTCCTAATTTGGTAAAGCTGTATCTAATATCTAAATTTGGTTAGTTTTATTTGACAATTTAATTGGAATGCTAAAATTTATATTTACGAGTATTTTGCATATTTTTTCTCATATTTTTTTTTTGCAAAAATCAAGTTAAAAATATATTCTGTAAAATGGAGTAACTTTGGACCATTGTTAGTTTTTTTTTTCTACAGCATTGTTAAAATTAAAGCTACAAACAAATTTAGTTTCCTTCTATTTGAGAAAGTTCATAAGATACTTTTCTGAAGTGCATTTATATACTGTTGGACAATTTTGCTGACATAAAATTTGTTTTTGGACAAGTTCTCCAGAGGAACTTTGATTATAACAAAGGAATTGCCATTGATTATTGCAGGACAATTTAACTCTTATCAGCAGTCTTCCTAGTTTGTGTTTCTTCAAGATTAGTAAAATCTGAAGAATCTCGTCTGTTCGGTTTTTCTCTCAAATATACCAAAGGAAGATCATCAGAATTGAATAATTCTAGAATTCGTCAGAGCAACTTGAGGTACATTTTCTCTTTCTTGTAAAAACTCTGAAACCTAAGGTTCCAGAAGAAGTTTGCAATAATGTTGACCCACAAATTGTTATTTTCATACACCGTTAGAGTATTTTCTATGTGATTTGGTAACCTCTTTATGGTTCCTTTAGGAAAAAACTGCAAGGCCGAAAATCTGAGATATTTTGTTGAATGAAACATCTATGTTTTGCAATGCTTTTCCCAACAAACTGCTCTTGAATTTCCAATCTGCCAATACTTTAAGGAGGTTTATCTG